CCTCCTCCCGGTAAGTTTTCCTCCCGGACTTAGCCTATAATTGGTCCACCTGGGTATGGTTTCCATCAGTTTCCCGCAAAAGGGAGGGGCACCGAGACCATTCTTGGGATTCATTTTTTCTCATCGAATTGACTGCGAGTCTAAACAAAGAATCCCGTTTTCAGAGCCCACCTCCTTTACTGGTATTCGAGAAGAAGACGGAGATTCTCGCGATTCAGGTCAGTTCAGTCTCATAATCTTATTGATTGGTATTATCGATTTTTCATGAGGTCACTGATTTTAGGAATCGTTTCCGATTATAACAGTCCGTTGAAAGTGGTTGAGACATCGCGAAAGGTTTGTTCTTCTTAGAAAAATCACCTTAGAATAGCCTTGAGCCATAGTGTCTCGACCAGGGGAATGCCCTCCACCTGAAGTTTCCCGGACTATTTCCTTGATCCCTCAGGGTTTGGCTCGTTTTTGGTTCTTTAGGGCCACGTTTTGAAACTGATATGCAGTTCCATCGGTTTTACGGAAGTTCTGACTTGAAAGACGCTCAGATGTTTCTGGAACTTTCTGGGAATTTCCCAGAAAGGCGTGGCAGCAACTCGTCCCCTGCCAATTTTTGTCTCTTACCCGCTTCAAATTACCTGGCGCCGCGCCAAAACCAGCCCACCCCTTCCCCCTGATATGCCTCAGCATACGCACCGAACAAGGCTGTGAACTTTACCAGTACCTTTTCAGGCTTTTGTACGTAAAGGACTGACTGACAAAACTAACACAGATGTACATAACCAGGAATACATTACAAGGTAGTTTTTCGTTCTTTTTTTTCATCCCGCCATCACTACGGACTTCCATTTAGCAAGGCCAGATCCAAGGTATCCAAACGTCAGGTCGAGGGCGCTCGGCGACGTGAAGAAAGGGGGGTTGAGGCACTTTGCACTTTCGCTGCTGTCCATTGTCGTAATCATTGCTCTACAAAAGCTTCACAGGTATTATCCTACAAAAGTTGACTGGAGTTTCTACAGATAGACTGGTATCACTTCATGGCTTCACTAGGTTTCAAACGATCCTTCTTGATGGCTCAATACTACTGTGGGAAGCAGCGAAAGTGCAAATCGTCCCCCTCCCCATGCGCCTAGAAGCGGAGGTCAAGTCTTTTCCAAGTCGCAGTTTTCGCCAGGAATGGTCAGGAACACAGAAATCTGTCTCAATCGGTAATAGATTGATCTGAGCAGTCATTGCACGAACCTCAGTTCAGTTCTTAATTCTATCATAGAAAGCTAAAGTTATGGTGTATCAACAGACCACACCACCATGCCCAAGTGAAGCCCGACCAGTTCGTCGCGCGGCGCTTCGCCCCACTGGAGAATCGGAAAATCCATGAACAAGATTAGATACATATCGATTGACCTCAGTCTTGAGTTGGATAAAGAATCGGAATACTGGCAACAGAAATCTGAATCCATCTATTCCCCTAGCTGATTCTCCGAGTCTCCGGAAGCGCTATGTATGGAAGCGTCCTCAGAAAATCACACTACAAACTTTATAGAAGCATAGAAACTTTGAACTTACGAGACGAAACACCTAAAGTCACCTTTTCAATGTTTAATCCGTAAAGACTAATAGGCTGTAGTTTGGCTAGGTGGAGCTTATTCGCTGGTTTCCAGCGATCACTGCAGGAGCGTGCTGTAGTGATTTGTAAACTCTTGCGAGACCAACTAAAAGCGCGAGGTTCCTTTTATGCTGTATTGACTTTGTTTACTTTACTTTCGCAAAAGGGTCTACAGGGAGTTAGTAAAAGAAGTAGTAAAAGAAACTAACGAAATAGCAAAATAACCGGGTCCCGTCCAAGCCGTACCGTGCCCAGTGTAGCCTCACTTTCCTCTCCTATTGATGCTCGTGAATTCCGAAACCGAAGGCGTATTTCTTCAACAGAACATAGGGAAGAGTATTGTCTGATGGAGAAGTCCAAAACTCCAAGCACTTACGAGGCTAAATATTGGAAGCAATGACTCTTGTTTTCATTTTGCCTCGCCGTAGACCCGGCATGTCCACTAACTTGGAGTACATTAGGATAAAGGACCATTCGACGCATTCATGGAACTCACTGTTGAGCGCTGAAGGCGGAGGGGAGGGAGGGGGTGTGGGTACGTTGTGCTATAGTATTCACAATTGAAAAGTGACTCCACTTTCAGCTAACTCGTAGCGTTCCTTCCTTGCCCAAATGGGTCATTGCGTAATCTCAAAGATTACAAAGCCAGGGCGCATCACAGAAACTTACGTGGGCGCTGCAGCTATCATATCCTACTCTCTCTCAAGTTTTTAGCACCGGAGGCGATGAACCCCTCCACTCCTGTGCGCCTCCTCCTTCTACAGATCGCCGATTCTCATATTCTCCTTGAAAGCATCTTGAGCTGTGCCTAGTAGAGGCTTCATTCCTTGAAGCGTACAATCTGAATTATTCTAAGAAAGTGGGCACGATTTCTGCGGGGCGGGCGCCAACGTCATTGGTATAAGGGGATCTGGCCGAACCCCCTCTCGCGCCCTTCCACCAATGATGTAATCGTCCGCGCCTAGCCTTCGTGCCCATTGCCTTTACTTGTTGCACTTGACTCCTTTCTCTAACCCTTTCTTTCACAGTAAAACCGTGAAACAACCAATAGAGGAATCGCCCATATCGAGTCGTCGACCACCACGTTTGCTTACACCATCAATGATATCGTCTGATGACGGCGACAAAGAGAACGTACTGTCAGTATCGAGTTTTGAAGAAACAGTCTTCGCAAGCATAGAGACCACCTCGGCAGCGTCAATATCATCATTTTCGGTAAGAGCTCTTATACTGAAACCTTCTCTTCCAAGAATTCTTTGAAAACTATTTTCAGTGTGCCGAGTCAGATATCGTTTGGACTCCGGCAAAGGTTCGGTTGCCTGGCCAGCGTTCAGCAAGTGAAGAACGAACGACAAAAGTGGTAAAGATAAGGAAACGAATCACTGACAGTGCCCTCTCAGACAGTGGTGTCCAACGAAAGAGATCCTGCGCCATTCGGACCGACCTTCTTCAAGTTCGTTACGATTTAATTACTTTAAACCAGTGAGTAATGCTAAGAATTATAGAGTGAGATCCACATAGCACAAGATGATGTGTTCGAGGCTGATGACTTCTCTCCAAACGTATCACATGCCAGCGAATGCTCCATGTCATCTTCGCGGTCTTTATCTCGAAGCTTCACGCGTACGCAAAGTACGGGCCAACTGGAAATGGGAGAATCTCAAATGGGATCGCCTAAGTTCGGACCGACTGTTGTGAGTGATCGTCGTTAATCGCGTTCAGGCGTTGCCTTAGCTCGGCATTGATGCCGTTTGGACGCGCTCAGTTTTGGTTGCTGCATTGTTGCATTTATGAAATGCAGATCGCTTAAAACTTGTATACAAGAGTTATTTAACATACTGATTAAGCAAATGACATTTATTCTTGTCGCTGACGCTAATGGAGAACACTGCGATCATCTGCGCTCTGCTAAATCTAGCCTGGAATGAAGTCAATCACTCCTACCGGGCTCAGCCTTGGCGTGGAGGGGTGGGGAAGTGAAGTAAGGAGGGTTGTATGTAATGACGGTCATAACCCTTCATAAACACTGCAAGCAGCCAGAACTGAGCGCACTCAAACGACATCATTCAGCTGGGCAGGGAAGAGTACGCGACGTGGTGTCGATGACGTGCGGAGCACAGGCGATTGAGTTCATACATTGCGTCTCAAGATTCAGCGGATTTGAAGGTTGCGGGACGATGGAGGTATAGGTATCAATCTGGCCACTGCGGAGATTGAGCGATCCGGCGATTTGAGAGACTCGGCGATCTCCCAAAAACGCCAGATCGATAGCATACTTTCCTCGTCGCGTAATCTCTCGAATCGCCAAATCTCCCAAGTCAGTGAATCTTCTCAGTTCCCCATCAAAATGTGAATGCGAATTGAATATGGAGCTGCTCCCCTCTTCGAACTAAATCAAGGCCCGCATTCGTACCTCGTGAGTGTGGAGAATCTGCTTCTTTTATTCGCTGGTCTGAGATTGGACGGGAATCGATTGATTCCGCATACTAGCATTTCCAGAGGATCTGAAATCCCATGATCCTCTACTGGGCGGAGTCGGTCGCCCCCTCGTATTTCTTTGTCGCCGACTCTTCGGAATCGCGAATTCTCGGGGTCGATACGCATACTTTCCTTTGTCGGCTGTTTCTCCAAATAGCAGATTCCCCGCATCCGCGAAAAACGCAGCCTAACTGGTCGTTCTTCCAGCTCTAGTCGAATGACGTCATTGATACGTGGGCAAACCCCTACGCACAGTAGCTGCCTTATAAGGCAACAGTGCTGAAGACATTAATTGGCTTGATTCTAACGCAGATCTGTTCGCTTTTCAAGGAGTATTCGTTACCTGGCGTGGAACATCCTCAGCGCGAATCACTTGCTTTCCGAAGCATATCAGCTGAAACGTTAGCCTCAGAGATACGGCGACTTGGACCAGAAGAGTTTGAACGTCGCTATTTGCTCATTGACTGCAGATATCCATATGAATATGAGGGTGGACATGTCAAGGTGAGCATTCCTAGAAGATCCTGATAGTTTCAAATGTAATTTCTGCAACTTAGTGTGCGATCAATGTTCACGACCAAAATGAGCTAGAAGATTTGTTCTTTCCCTGAAGATCCAAATCACCCAGTTCGCTCACGAATTCCGATATTCTATTGCGAATTCAGTCAGAAGCGCGGACCCGGAATGTAAGCTTTTTAGTTTTAGATCATCACATTAAATTATGTAACTAGTTTCAAGTTGATATGATCATTTAGGGCCCTTGCATTGCGAAGTATTGATCGAATGCGTAATGAACTGAATTATCCAAAGGTTGACTACGCTGAGATGTACCTTCTAGACCATGGTTACCGAAAATTCTGGAATGATGGTTACAAGGTTAATGTTTATCAACTGTCATGATCCTAAGCGATTTGTTAAGTGAAAAGCTTTAGAGCGATTCTCCTTATTGTGAGGAAATCAAGGATTATCAAAAGAGCTAATATGAATCGCGGTAGAAACGCAAACCTTT